TTTGTTAGAAAATTTTCCTGTTTCTTAATACTGTAATTTTTTAAATTCATTTTTCACTAATCTACTGCCCCATCGGATTTCTGAGTCACATTTTCAGTCATCTATTAAAACCCTTCCCAGATGGTTAATTTCATATGCCTGCTTGATTTTGATATCCCCAATATGTATCTAGCGTCTTCAGCTGTCCTATTTGTTAACTGCAGCACGTTTTGTCTCATTCTAATTATTAAATTAAGCGAGGGCGTCATGTGGCAAAAGGCCGGTTTAACGTGGGATCTCCAAAATATATGCCCATTGAACCCGTATAAACGGGTTCAGGGTCGGTTTACCTTCCCGAAAGAGAATCCGCCCTTCGGCGTAGCCTCTTTCGGGTTCTACCCCGCCCGAAGGGAGATAGTTCAACCGATCAGCCGGTCGAGACTTGAACGACTGTCTATTCATGTTCTGACTTGATAACACCCAAATAGGAAGTCTATATATAGACGAGGTAGTCACGCAACAGCAACTCGACCATTTTTTTTTATATTAGAATTTACCTAGTATTTGCTGCGGCAGAAATACGTCTCACATTTTAAACTGTTACATATATGGTGCTAGTAGATATAAGCAAGTTGTAATGCTGTTTTCATCTAGCTAATATCTTACCATTTTTTGCTCAGATGCGGTCATTTACCATCCTAGTTTGCACCAGTGCACACTGTACCTTTGCTTTTGAAGCATATCTGTAAAACTGGTGAATCTGTAATTACAACACACAGAGATTTTCGTGCTCGTTACTTCGGAATGATGCTGTTCCGGATAAAAAAAAAATCGATACTGCAGTGGGTTCAGGGCCACAAGATCAGCGCTTAAAAGAAAGTCATGGAAACGGCCTCAAAGCGCTCGTACTTCCGAGTGAAATCGTCTACAACAGTATATTGCGAATAATGACCAGCATTTGGAGGATGTCATTTTTAAAACGAAATAAATAAAAACTGTCGCCCTTTGTTTAAACGAAAGTGAATTTTTTTTTTGTTTTTAATAACAGTTACCTTCTTCTTTTTGTCAACCTTCTAACCCTTTTACAAGGCCAGTGAGCCAACCAAGCTAATGCGTTACTATTAAACTAGTGTATGATATGAGTTAAAGAGACGTTGGTAAATTAATATTATGAGGAGAAAGACGGTAGCTATGGTGGCAAAAGTGTATGCAATAATAGCGATATCAAAGAAATAACCGTCATTTTGACACAGTGATTTTTTTTGTGGACACGAAGGTTAAACCTTGCCAAAAAATTCTATAGTAACACAGTTATTTTAAATAGTAAACATCTAGACGGCAATGATTCTCAGTATTTTAAGTTTGAATGTATACATTTTTTTACGTAAGCAATACACACTGTCTGGCTATCCATAAGTTCTGGGAGGCAGATTGATCAATCGGTAATCTGTCTATATTTCTGAGATGAGGTATAATGTACATTATTTACATTATTCGGACTATTGTCCTCATCTTCGGCCGTTGTACGCTCCGGCCTTCTTCAGGTGGTTGGAATGTCGAATAAAGGGTTCAGTTCGACATTCCAACCACCTGAAGAAGGCCGGAGCGTACAACGGCCGAAACGTTGTAATAAATATGGCGACAAAGATGAGGACAATAGTCCGAATAATGTAAATAAATAATAATAACAAATTGACGTAGTTATTTTATACTTGTCGATTCTGTGCGTATACGGGTTTGAAATAAGAGCAGTGCTTTTTCTAGACTGATTAGCAAACAAGGTTTGAGAACCAAGTCTGCCACATAGATTGGCGAAAGAAGAATTGGTTTCTTTATTTTGCAACTATTGTAGCACCTGCATTACTGACCAATTACTGATATTTATTTTGTCAGTGTTTCTCTGCTCTGTGAAAATCATCAAAGAAAAATAGATCCTTATTTTCAGACATTTTTCCTTTTCCTGATAAAGCGATTTCGATTTTTGTTTCGTCAAGCTATTGTAAAACAACATCCATAACCACGACATAGACCACAGCACTAACGTCTGGGCTACATCTGTAATTACTGTTCATTTGCTTTATATTCTATTGTTTTAGGAGACTATTGTTCTTGTCCTCTATGTGTTGTTTTTGCATGCAAAAGCATTGAAACTTTACTGCTTTGCCCTCGTCTTTTGTAATTCTGTTAATTGTCAACATGGCATCAACGACTGGCATCATCCCCAGAGATCTTTTCTGGAAAACTAACTGAATACCTTGATAGAGGAGAGAGCCAAATTTGAACGAGAAGCAGACATGTGTACTGACTTCTTACTCGTGTCGCTTCTTCCATCACGGCATTTCTCTTTCAGATGATTTTTTTTTTTGGCATTACGAGTTCTTAGCTTTTACAGATTATTTTTTTTATTTTTATCGTTTTTTTTTCTGTTTGCTTCTAAAAATTTTGTTCAGGTACATTGTATGTTTTCTTTCTTTCTTTTCGTTTTATTTGTTTAGCTATTTTTAGTTTTTGGTGGCTTTTTAATGTTTTTTGCTATAAGCATACTCTAGAATTAAAATCGGCTATTTTCAACACATTCGGAAACAAAACATCTTAATTAAAGTTTTCACTACTTTTCTCGTAAATAATAATGAAAATAATAAAAGAAGAAATTCAGGAAGTATATGTTTATTAACATAGCAGTACCATCTGAGAGAAACACCTCAATAAAAATTATGGAGAATTTGTCCGATGACAAGGACCTGGAGATCGAGATTAACAGGATGTGTGGAATGAAGACTGAGACTGTACCAATAGTAATCGGAGCACTGGGCCTCGTGAGAAAAGGAATGGACAACTTTACCAACAGTGTCCCAGGTAATATCAGCATACAAGTTGCCCACAAGATCACCCCTAAAAGGAACATCCCATATACTATGAGAAGTACTATCAATTAAGTGACACTTGTTTATGTCCTGAGGACCATATTTTGGACCCGGCTCGACAGGATACAAAGCACCACCACCATCACTACTACTACTACTATTAATACTACTACTAATAATAACAGTAGTAGTATCCAGTAAACCCTCTGCGAAATATTGGCTACAGCTTACTCGCTTTAAGTTTTGCTGCTGTGTAATAAGTAGGATTTCGAGGTCAGGCGGTGTTTCTCGCCCCAGTCCAGACCTGTTTTTAAATCAGTGTTGTCCTCCCCCCCACCCTAGACTGGCTGCCAAGGATAGAGAGCTCAGTCTACTCTACTATTAAACTGGAGGAAGGAAAGCTGAATTCATAAATGTACGAAAGCGAACGTAACGACCTCAGTAGAAACTTGAATTTCGAACGGTGATTCCAATTTCTGCTCTGATAACCGCTACGCTACCCACACGTCGTACTTCAATGGCACCGCTCTTCCTCCCCGACTTTATAAAAAGAATTTCGCGCATGTCCTCATTTTTTCTCCCGCATGCTAATGCGAATATCATCCTATTTCCAATGCTATCGCTTAATCTGAAGTGATACCCATTATTCCATTTTTGGCCAACACATATCAGGGAAAAAAAACAAACTAGTATTGAATGTGTTAATATAAGAGAAGTGATTTGTGTGGCGGGGGGTGCGCTTAGCTTAGTTTAAGCGTATGTGTAAGATGTTGCCATGTCTTTAGGCGTGTTGTTTGTTTCTGCAACCGATCTCAGGTGTGAATTACTCATTAACAACATTAATAAATTAACAGCAGTCGGTGTTCCAGTCAAAATAAAAGCCAAGAGTCTAAATGCAAAGTATTTAAAGTAGGTGAAACTTTATTCCCGCCCCTAATTCATCCGCTCATTTGTCACACACAATTAAACTTCGTCAATTTTTAGTTCACATGAGAGAAAAGGTAAAATCGCAGTAAAGAGCATACAGCCGCCATATTTTTTACGGAAGTTATTTCACTGAAGAGCAGCCGTTTTCTCTTAATCATATTTTTGGGGGTTGCCGATCTGACATCATTTGCCCGAATGCAAGATAACCTTATCAATCGGGCTTTAAACTGCTTCATTTTCATAAGAAGTATCTGCATTATTAATGTTTGATTATTTTGTTCACCCGAATGTAAACTTAAATTTTATTTATAGATATTTATTAAGCTTGATTTGGTACACACATGGTCAAGGAAGGAATACAGAAAATGCAATTTCTTACGCTAATCTTCAAAATCGATCGGACTGTCAGTTTGGGGCATCTGCATTCGGGATAATCGCCTTCTACTTGGTGGATATGCTAACAAATTGTTATGATGTTGATTTGGGGTTAGTAGAGACAAACGCCAAATAACACGTAACAATAAAAAGGGTTTTAATAGGTTGGTAAAAAGGTACAGAAATCGCCTGAGTAGTCAATAACTAGCTCAGCTTCTCTGTCTATCTATCTTCCCTCCATGTCAACTGACATGCCACTATTTAAAGTCTTTGTTCACAGACGCAGACAAGTTCATCTTCAAGAGGGGTGGTAGGTTTCCGACACAACACTAATCAAGCTTTTTATTTTCCTATTGCTCACATAATACAAGCATACGTAACACTCAAGATAAACGCTTACTGAATGAAGATATTTTGAAAGAGTATAAGGAAGGAGCAAAAGTTGGATATTATGAAGATATGTAGGATAGAAAAAGGTTAACTCTCGACATAAAGATGTTAATATTGTGTTGAATTAAGAGGCATCCATTCAGGGGTTCATTCCACATTGCAACAGTTCAGGGGAAGAAGCTCGCGGAGAGGAACTTCCGTCTACCTGAGTGAAGCGGATAAGAAGTGATTGCGTATGAGTCAACTGGTTGTACGCGGCATGAAGGGTCTGGACTGGTGACATCAAGGAATATAGTTCGCCCGAATATTTGTCAAGAAAATGCTGATAGATTAGCGAGAGGTTAGCACTGTTTTGTCTGTGGGACTGTGGTTCAAGGGTGGAAAACAATTCCTTACCCAGAAGGACGTGAAAACTCGTCGAAACTGAAGAGGAAGGATATGCCAGTTTACATCCCAGATGTGGTATCAATTATACAAGCAACAACGAACTTCATAAGACAGGAAAAAATATAGGACAGGCGAAAGACGAAATTTGTAAATATAACAGAAAGAAAGAAAGAGAAATTTAATAGAAGAAGAAAGAAAGAAAGCGAATAAATAAAGAATTAAAGAAAGAAAGAAAGAAAGAAAGAAAGAAAGAAATTGAATAGAAGAAGAAAAAGAAAGAAAGAACGAAAGAAAGAAAGCAAATAAATAAAGAATTAAAGAAAGAATTAAAGAAAGAAAAAAAGAAAGAAATTGAATAGAAGAAGAAAGAAAGAAAGAAAGAAAGCAAATAAATAAAGAATTAAAGAAAGAAGGAAAGAAAGAAAGAAACTGAATAGAAGAAGAAAGAAAGAAGGAAAGAAAGAAAGAAATTGAATAGAAGAAAGAAAGAAAGCTAATAAATAAAGAAAGAAAGAAATTGAATAGAAGCAAAAAGAAAGAAAGCGAATAAATAAAGAATTAAAGAAAGGAGGAAAAAAAGAAAATGAATTGAAGAAGAAAGAAAGCGAATAAATAAATAAATAAAGAAAGAAAGAAAGAAAGAAAATAAAGCAAGCAAAAAAAGAAATACAAGGAGAAATAAAGTGAATAAAAGAAAGAAAATGAATAGATGGATAAAGAAAGAAAAAGTGAATAAAACAAGAAAGAAAGAAGAAATGAAAGTGAAAAGAAGGAGGAAGAAAGTGATTAAAACAAGAAAAAGATATAAAAAAAGAAAAGAAATGAATAGTAGAAAGAAAGTTAATAAAAAAGAAAGAAAGAATATGAATAGAAGGAGAAAGAAAGTGAATAAACAAGAGGGAAAGAAAGTGAATACAAATAGGAAGAAAGAAAGTGAATAACAGAAAGAAAGTGAATAGAAGAGACTAGAAAACCAGAAAGAAAGAGGGAATGAGTACAAGAAAGTGAATAAAAGAAGAAATAATGAAAACGAGAAGAATGAAAAAGAAAATGGAAGAGGAAAGAAATAAAGTAAATAGATAGGAAAGAAAAACAATGAATAAGCTAATACGCCGTAGACATATTCCACTCGTAATCGTAACATCCCTCCATTTGAAATTCATGCTGTGCCTTCATTTTTCATCCACACACACCTGTGACTGATAACTACTTTTCAGCTATCCTATGTAATCAGTAGTGATTCTCTTTGTCTTAGTCTTGCCCTATATATATCATTACAAAAACACTGGCACTGACGTTGTTAATAGAAAAGAATAATTTTTATGCGTGACGATGTGCGCATAGGTAATTGAGGCGTATGTGTAAGTTGTTGCCATATCTTTAGGCATGTTGAAAGGTTGTTTCTGAAAAGGATCGCTGTTGCAGGCAGCCTATCTCATGTTATTAATTACACATTAACAACTGGTGGCAGAAGTCGGCATTTGAATCAAAATAAAAGCCAAGATTATAAATGATGGGTTTTCAAAACAGGTGAAACCGTGTGCACACTCTAATTCAACCACCCATTGACCTTGTGTCACACATTATTAAACTTCGTGATTTTTAGTTTATATGACAGAAAAGAGAAATTGCAGTGAAAAAGCAGACATCTTTATGAGCAACCGCCATTTTATTTTACGGAGGCCATCTTATTTGAAGCAGCAATTAGCTTAAAATGATATTTTTTTTGTATCCTCACCTGGCATCCTCTTCCTTAAGCAACGAAACCTTGAATTCAAACCTTATATTAATTGCTTCCGAGAGGAAATAATATAATTATTAATTTTGGTTTGCTTCTTCTTTCCTATTTTACATTTTACTGTTGCATTTTATTCACACGAGAACGTTGCTTAATTTAATCATTTCATCCCAATCAAGGCTATAAAGCCACTAAGATGCAAGGGGGTTATTGATTTGGAGAGAATATGAGAAAAAAAACACTATTAAGGAGAGTGAATAATAAATTAACAGAATTAAGAAAACTGCAGAAGACAGATGATAACGATTGACATTATATTTAAATTATTGAAGACCAAACCTGACAGGGAAGCAAGAAGCCGGAACAGAGTTCCACAAGCGAGAATTGCAAAAGAAGAAATTGTTAGCATAAAACTTACGGTTACACTTAGCCATTTTAACTGTAAAAGGATTAGACTTTGCCGCCGGTGGAGTACTGTTGAAAAGCAGTAGTTGCTATAAATATCAAACATTTTCTTTATATCAGTTCAATATAGATATTTATTTAACTTGGTTTTGTAAAATACATAGTCTAAGAGATGATAAAGAAAAAAAAAACAATTTCTTACGCTAATCTTTAAAATCGATGCGGCTGTCACTTTGGAACATAAGCATTCAAAATATTGACTTTACTTGGATGGGTTAGACAGTTGCCTTCTTTCCGGTGAGAAAACAAACCGATCAAGGACAGCTTGTATGAGGGATATATAGGACAAGCGGAAGTCGAAATGTATAAATCTGAAAGAAAGAAAGAAAGAAAGAAAGAAAGAAAGAAAGAAATGTGAATAGAAGAGGAGAGAAAAAATAAGGTAATAGAGAGGAGAAAGAAAAAAAAACAAGAGAAATATACAAGAGAGAAGTTTGTTCACACCAGTAGACAAATCACACCCTTAGTTTCGGGTTGCCTAATGAGTATTTGCAGTCCACTCACAGATAAGTCGCACTATAATCTGGAGAGCTACACACCCCATTTTAAAATAAATATAGCTAATATCTGTTAAATATTTTCAAATATTCACCCTTATTTCAAAACGTTGCTTATATATATTAAAACATAAGAAAGGTGATTGGTTGTGATAGCGTGGTATTTATTTATTGAGAGTGAGGCTGCTCTGTTTAGACGAAAATTTGACTTCAGTCTTAAACTCACTTAAAAATGATAGTCTTTCATCGTAAATCAGATAATAAAAGGTAAATATAAGCAGTGCAGATCGTGCGTTTTTATTTGATGTGCGCCGCTATACTCTTGGAAGAGGAGATTTCATAAAATAGAAATGTCGGGAAAAATTCATTTTCTCCCTTGCTTTCGCTTATACTCGAGTCCAGGGTACTTGCCTAGACTACAGATACGTCACAGTCTACTTCAGATTCTCTATGATGTTAAATGTGTTTTAGGGTCGTTATTTATGTCGACCTCACAAACCAAAAGGAAAAAGAAGTGACAGCAGCTGAAACAAACAGAACAAAGGCAGAGTTTTTAGTTTAACAAAGGCCAACTTTATTATTTGGCGAAAACTAACAAAAACCTTTAGATGTGTTTAGATGTGGTGCGTCGTGGTCCTCAGAGGCGGCTTGGTTTGATTATTCTCGTTATGTTGAGAATCAAAAGTATTTTGGTGATTTTCACTAGCGATATGTAGAAATTATGGCTCTGGGTTTAGAGATAAAAACAACACTTGTAGAGATAGAGAAATCTACAGAGTTTGAGTTATTGTCCTGAAAACACATCTGGGTTAAGAGTGAGATCCTACTTCTACTGATACTACTAATCTTGAAACTGCGCAAGGATCATTCAGAAATCTTGGTTGATCCTACTAAAAGAACTGATCAAAAGTATAATCCAACTTCCATTCCTCACAGTTGAATCCTGTTGATAATGAGTCGATTCTTATCAAGCGTCTTGGTAAGAGTGAAACCCTACTCTTAAGTAGTTGATCCTACTAACCAGGAAACTGATCCTGGATGATTCTGAAATACCGTTTTTTCAAAAGTATGATCAACCTCCATTCCACACAGTTGAATCCTGTTGAAACCCTACTCTTAAGTCTAATTCTGGATGATTCTTCATTTGTGAAACCCTACCTTAAGTAGTTGATCCTACTAACCAGGAAACTTGGAAAAATCAAGTAGTTGATCCTACCAACCAGGAACTGATCCTGGATGATTCTGAAATACTCTTCCATTCCACACAGTTGAATCCTGTTGATAAGGAATCGATTCTTATCAAGCGTCTTGGCAAGTGTGAAACCCTACTCTTAAGTAGTTGATCCTACTAACCAGGAAACTGATCCTGGATGATTCTGAAATACTGTTTTTTCAAAAGTATGATCCAACCTCCATTCCACACAGTTGAATCCTGTTGATAAGGAATCGATTCTTATCAAGCGTCTTGGCAAGTGTGAAACCCTACTCTTAAGTAGTTGATCCTACTAACCAGGAAACTGATGCTGGATGATTCAGAAATCCTGTTTTTCCAACAGTATGATCCTATTTCCTTCCTTTACAGGACATTATTGTTAAACTAAAAACTATCATTTTTCTACTTGTTTCCGCTGTTGTCACTTCTTTTTCCTTTTGGTTTAGGACGTCGACAGAATTATCGACGTCGCAACAAGTGTATTGTTCGTACTCCTGATTTTTAACGAAATTTTGGTGAAAAGCTCGACGTATTCTGGAGTATATACGGTAGGCAAAAACAAAATACACGAGAAAAGAAAAAAAATAGATTATAAAGAAGGAAAATAAAAGAGAAAGAAAGTATAGAAAAAAAGAATGATTAAAAGATGGAAGCACATGGAAATGAAAGGAAAGATAGAGTAAAAAAAATAAAATAAAAAAGAGAGAAAATATAAAGAAACAAAAATTACAGTTAAACAAAAAATTATAAATCAAAAGAAATAATCACTAAACAAAAAGAACATATAAAGAAAAAAGTAAGAAAAGAAAAAAGAGAAAATAGAAAGAAAGAAATGAATAAAGAAAGAAAAATAAGTTAAAAAATAAAAAGTGAAACGAAAAGAAAGACGTAAGAAATTAAAAAAGAAGAGAAAATGAAATTGGCGTAAAAATAAGAATAAAGGCGAAATGAAAGAAAGATTAAGCGAGAATATAAGAGAAAAATCAAAAAGGAGTGACCAAAAAGAATATAGAAGTGAAAAGAAAGAAAGAAAGAAAGAAAGAATTAAAGAAAGAATGAATCAGCAAAATGAAAATAGAAGAGAAAAAAGAAACAAAGAATGAAAGAAAGAAGGAGTAAGCAAAATGAAAAAAGAAGTGAAAGAAACAAACAAACAATGAAAGACAGAATGAATCAGCAAACTGAAAAGAAAAGAGAAAAAAAGACAAAGACTGAAAGGAATAAAAAGTAAGCAAAATGAAAATAGAAGAAAAAGAAATAAACAAAGAAAGAAAAAAGAAGAAAGAGTAAGGAAACAGAGTTTAGTAAAGAAAGACAAAAAAAAAGTGCAAGCGAGAAAAGTTTGCTAATATTGAAAAGAGCAGCGAAAAAGAAGTGGGAAAAAAAAACTGAAAATGAGGAAGAAAAGGAAGAAAGAAATAATGTAAAAGAAAATAATAAACAAAAATAATATAGAAACGCAAAGGAATTGAGGAAGAAAAAGAAAGAAAGAAAAAAAGCATAAAGATAAAACAAAAGATCAATATAAACAGAGATAAAGAAATACATTAGTTAACTTTATAGAAAGCAATTTGAAAGGAAGAAAATGAAATGAACAAAAGTAATAGATATCAAGTGAGACTAAAAAAAAAAGAAAGAAACAGTAAAAGGTTTTTCTCTTCTTAGCAAAAAGAAATGAACAAAAGAAAACACCCCCACCCACTGACAGAGGATTATTCATCATTGTCAAACAACGAGGGCTAATGGAACACACCTGACCTCCCGACGGCTTTTGTCTTTCTGTCGACAATCTACAACCGGAACTGTGGCTCTTGTTTGTCTTAACAGTCCAAAGAGTCTCTTGGGGAATTCTCCGTCGGTGACTTCCATTCTCATGTCTAAAGACCTGCAGCGAATCAAAATGGAATCCTAATGTTTCTTGCCCTCCCAGCAGAATCTTGCGTCTGGTATTGTCAAATGGAATGGCAAACATGCGGTATTCGCACTAGTTCCTTGTACTTTTGTTCTTGTATTTCCTATCTGTCTCGTCTGTCGTTTCACTTTAATTCAACTCTTCATTTCTTTTCCTGTACATTTTCTATGCTAAAGAATGTTTTTTTTTCCTGTCTTCATTCCTCTTTTTATTCTGATATTTAACCCACCATTCTTTTTCTTTTCTCTCTGTCATCCTCTCCTTCGGCTTATATGCCTCTACATTACGCACCTCCAATAATTCGCTGAAAAAGAGCATAACATGATGAAAAAATGCCTCAAATTTGAACGTTTATCGACAAAATATTTATTTTATTTTTGAGAAAAAAGACCAAATCATTTTTTAATCATTTTATTATTATTTTTTGTCTTTTTATCTCCCCTAAAACCAGCTCTGCCATGCATTTACACAATTTCACTAGGTAGGTTATGCGTTTTTTGTTTGTTTTTTTTGTTTGTTTTGTTTTTTTCTCTCTGTCCCCTTTCCTTCAAACTGTCCTATGAGTATCACATTTTCTCCTCATTATATTCCTTAGAAATTTTCAAAAGGACACTTAGACACAACATCAGAAGGCGACTTCGGATGTTACACCTAAATGTCCTTTTTGTTTCCATTTTCTCTAAAACTTCCTCATTGCTCACGTGTTCAGTCCATGGCATTTTCAGTATACTTCTTCAGAACTACAGTATCCGGCTGTAGAACCAGTCTCTTCTTCATCTGTGAGGAGATTATCCAGCATTCATTGCCATATTGGAGGGATATTACGTAGCATTTCCGCACGCTTTTCTTTGTTTCTAACTAAATGTTCTTGTTTCTTAATAGTTTGTTTAGCTTTTGGAAGACATCTTTCAATATCCCTTCGTATTTTCGATGTCGTACTTTCTGTCCATTGTCAAAACAATCCCTAGATATTTAAACTATTGTACTTGCTTGATTTTGACATCTCCAATACGTAATTTGCATGAGGCTCTGTCCTTTTTGGTAACAACCATGCATTCTGTCTTCGTAAATTCATCATAACAATAAACTTCATCTCATATTATTAGCGACGTTTATTATTATGAATTATTGATTTTTACGGCTTAGCAACCATTTGTGTGTTATTTAAATTAAAATATAACAATGGTTATTTTATTTGGCGAGTGAATATTGCATTATTTTTACTTTTTATTTTTTGAGAATAATAATTATAATAATTTCTCACTATTTAACTCATAACTGGGGGAAATATGAATTCATATTTTTTATTACTGTTGGTGGAACCCCACACTGATTGGCCATGTCTTCACGGGTGTAGCCGTACTAACCACGCTTACTCAATTGCTGGTTGGTGAGGATATTTTGCCCATTTTTGAGGGTTTGGAATTCATAATTGTTCTTCTCCTAGACCGGTTCCCAACCAAAGTTATATGACCCAGTCGGTCCTGCTATTTGCCCATGACTGTTTTTGATAGCATGGATTGATACCTTTCCCAAGGGTATTCGCACGTATGCAAATATAACGAAGTTAACATGATCGAAAACCCGTGAAGAAATCTAGACAGGAAAGGTTAGCATTAATAATGACATTTCTTATGCTATTCTAAAAATCTATTCTAAAAATCTGTTTCATAAGAAGGTCCGCAACATAAAATCAATGAACGATCGACTTCTAAAACTATATTCAGAATACACTATTTACATTATTATGTATTACAACGTTTCGGCCGTTGTACGCTCCGGCCTTCTTCAGGTGGTTGGAATGTCGAACTGAACCCTTTATTTCGCTCACTGGGGTAGACTGTTCTCGTTCTACGTGCCATGTTTGATGGATGTCAGTTATCAGTTATCTCCTGTTTATTCCCCTCTCCAAGTTCTCCAAGGCAGTGGTGAAACAGCTGAAACGCTGTAATAAATATGGCGACAAAGATGAGGATAATAGTCCGAATAATGTAAATAGTGTACATAATACCTCATCTCAGAGATATAGACAGATACTGAAAGACCGAAACGTTGTAATAAATATGGCGACAAAGATGAGGACAATAGTCCGAATAATGTAAATAGTGTACATAATACCTCATCTCAGAAATATAGACAGATACGGAAGGGCCCAAACGTTGTAATAAATATGGCGACAAAGATGAGGACAGTAGTCCGAATAATGTAAATAGTGTACATAATACCTCATCTCAGAAATATAGACAGATACGGAAGGGCCCAAACGTTGTAATAAATATGGCGACAAAGATGAGGACAATAGTCCGAATAATGTAAATAGTGTACATAATTACCTCATCTCAAAAATATAGACAGATATTTTCAGACTATTAAACATACAGTTCACATTAGTGTTTTATGAAAATACAGTCGGAAAAGATTTTAAAAAATCAAAAATTTATTAAAAAAAAATATTCCCACATCGTTAAAAATGCAAATATCTCATTTAAAAATATCGGGACTGATTCTGTGCTAATGGAGCCAAAGCACGCGAAGTGAAGCTGCTTGGTCGAAATTGACCTTGAACTCTGTAGCCTAAGGACACTAAGTTATAACGTTCTCGATATATACCATTATATATAGCAGTGTTTGGAAAGAAAGTGTGAAGAGTGTGTTCACGTCAACACAACAGAGATTTCATCAGTGACCAAAGCTGAGAAAACTGAGCACAGAATTGTATCAAATTTTGCATAAAGCTTGGTGATACCTGCAATAAAGACCTACCCAAAGTTGCATAAAGTGTATGGAGAGGAGAGAATAAGCAGGACACAATGGAACGTGCCGTTTAAACCAATCCAAGATGGCCGTTAAAATTTCGACAGTGACACACGTTCCGGGAGACCTGCAAACAACCGAATTGATAAAAACATCGCAGATGTGTTTGTCGATGTTTGGAAAGCCTGTCAAATCATCGTGTGTAAGTTGTCGGCGGATGTGAACATCGGTTACGGCTCATTTCAGTGCATCTTCACTGATGAGATAGTTGTCTGCCAAGTATGTACCCAAACTACTTTCAGTTGATCAAATAGAAAGTCGGGCTTCAGCTGCGCAGGTTCGACTTGATTATGTCGAGAAGACGAATTTTTTTTTTGAAATAACAGGTTATAACAGATGAAGGTAATGTGTCTATGTTTATAAACCCGAAACCAAGACTCAGTCTTCGCTGTGGAAAACTCTAACCACTCTGTGCCAGAAGAAAGCACGAATGAGTCGAAGCAATGTGAAAACGCTGTGAGCAGTTTCCTTCGATTACAAGGGCGTTGTTCGTCTTGAGTATGCTCCACCTGCTCAGACAGTAAACAAGGAATACTACCGCAAAATGTTTCGTCGTTTGCGGGATTCTGTTTCTCAGAAAAGTATAGAATTGCATGCGTCCGGTGAGTAAAAACGCATCTGCCCATTCAGCTCTGTTTGTGCATCAGGTTTTGGCCAAGTATGACATTCGCCACGTCCAACAACCATCATCGTCCTCAGATCTCGACGCTTGCAGTTTCCTCTTTTTTTTTTTCCATAAAACAAATCCCTCCTGATAGGAACAAGATTTCAAGTCGTCGAGGAAGTGTAAGAGAATACAAGGAGGCAGCTGCACGCAATCCCAAAAAAGTGACTTCCAGGAATACTTCCAACAATGGAAACGACTCTGGGTAGTGTGTGGTTTCAGAAGGAGTCGACTTCGAATCAGATTAAATGCCGAATGGGTATGTATTGTAGTTTACCTTTTATAGCACCAGTTCCAATAATTATTGATCTGACTTTAGTTTAATAAACTCACCACCGACCCACAAAACTCCAGTTATGTCAGTCCAGAAGAACCTCCACATGTCGAGCTATTAGTATAAGTAGCGAGACTGTATCCATTACCAACTTGCTAGGACTGTCTCGTAACTTACAGCATCTGACATCCCTCAGTGGTAATTTAATTGAGTACTGACCAAGTTGTTTAATTTTAGTGATCTGTCTAGAAGCGATGTTTCAAAAGAGATATGTCCGTAAGCAAGTGTTGCTACCAATCAAAAGGAGACAACTAAAAATTCAACAAGGAATGAAGGTTTGAAGAATTTAACATTTACAGGATTTATTGAAAAAAAAATAAAAACGAAAATGAAGGACTAAACAGTGAATAATGAACTTGATAAGTTTGGGGGGAATGGCTCACAGAATAAGGATTAACATGTGTAGAAAAAGCGCAAGCCATTAAAAAAAAAAAAAAAAAAAAAAAAAAAAAGGCGGGATGCTTTCGCTCATTCCCACCAAACGGAAAAATGTAAACTAAATAAAATATTAATAAAATATTCCTTGTCCGTCATATTTAATGAAAGATGTTTAAAAGAAAGTTTGCTACCCTAATATATATTAATGCATATATATATATATATATATATATATATATATATATATATATATATATACACATTCCCAATCTTTGAATTTCAACATACAAATGCGTATGCATAGAACAACACCACCCGTATACATACATATGTCATATCCGAAACTGCCCACATATGTTTATATATGTATGAGTCCCGACGGACGACCAAGTATGTATATGTGTCTGCATACAACGATGTTTGCGTTAGTACGATGACATAAGCGA